GGCACATCACTGACATCTTAGGCAGGAATGCTGTACCCCATTACGATGTCCATCCTCTAGACACAAGGCGTCTTCACTGACGACTTTGCTGATTTGGTTGACATGTGTCATCATATGCCAATTGTGTAGATCGATTCTCATGATGTTGATCCCTGGATTGTCTGGTCCAGACTCGATTATTTACATACCGCCGCCACATAGCTGGAATATTGCTAAGTGCAGCGTAAAACTAAACTCAATCGTGCCGTCAAGAGGCGGTAATAACTCTACCTTTGCCAGTCAGAATTCCAGATCTCGGATCCCCAAGAGTATGTTGGGACTTTATGGGTCGCAGAATACGTCAGAGAAATCCTCCAGTACACAATCTTGATGTACTGGCACAAACCTTCCATCAAAATGGAAAGCAGTACCTCAACGTCAAATTCAAAGTATGATAGCCAACGAGGAGGGTCAAGGCTGTTTTGGCCGGTGTTACACCAGATATTGACATTGTACTCAAGATTCTTATACCAATATGATTTCTTGAGGACTGACCGCAGTTGCTAACGTCGTGTAACTGTACGTTTTGAATCAGTGACGAAAAACGATTTAATGTCTCCAATAAGAACTCCCACTTAAGCCTAGAAACCAAATTTAATAAAAATATAATATGAAATTATTCGCTCTTTTATTTTCTAGATTTGCTCAACACTGTCGCAGTCCAAGAGACCATGTATCAAGGGAGAAAATATCTGATACACGAACCAGGAGAAGTAAAATTTTTAAACGTCGAGGAACTTGGAAGGAACAATTATTTGCGTCTTTTAACAGGAGAATTCAGTATCGCGAAAGAAATGTACAACCCAAGTCCCAAGTACCCTGCTGAGATTGAATTCTCACTAGCATCATTTACGAAGTCTTCGGTTATCTTTGATCTCTTGATGAAAACGCCTGGTATTTCCCATCCAATAGCTTTTGTCAAAGACAAGTCTGTACTTGTTTCTGGATCCTTACCAGAGGTACTCCCTCTACCTGAAATTTGGAAAGAAAGATTTGGATCATTTTACAAGAAAGCTGACATTTGGTTCGAACCATTGTCAATTCCTTCCCCAATGATTTGTAGAGGTGCACAAGTTAAACCATTTGTGCTCACAGTCCCAATGAGAGATGCAGGCACGTACGGATACATTTTGACAACCATGCTCTTGCAGTACTGTCTGGATGCACTGGGGATCATTTCTACAGGAATCAGATTGCTTTTGAAGGAAACACGGAGTCATTCTTTCTGAAACATGCCTCTTACTATATCAACGACGTTATCACAACTACAGATACTCTGACAGTGGAATTATGGGATGACGACATCTATTCTGATTGGGTCTGTTTCAACATTGTCAAATCTGGAAAGAGCGTCTTCCAATCCCGCATTCAGTTCTACAGTTATGGAGATTTACAACTGCAAAGCAGCCAAGCTTATCATTACACATTTTGACGATTTTCCAACACCTATTTATGGCGAGCAGTAAAGAAAAGTCGAGGTATCGATAATGTTAAGCACTATGCATTCCCCTATGTTCCATTTATTGCCACATGGGTACAATGTGTGAAGCCAATTTCTGGTGTCCCCAGCCGTGATGTTGCTGGAATATTGCTAAAAGCGGCGTAAAACCATACTCAGTCAGTCCATTCATTGACAATATCAATAGATGTCATGCATTCACTTTGCATATGGGGCGGTGAGGTAGCCTAATGGTTAAAGCGTTCGCTCGTCACGCCGAAGACCTGGATTCGATTCACCACATTGGTACAATGTGAAGCCCATTTCTGGTGTCCCCCGTCGTGATATTACTGGATTATTGCTGAAAGCGCCGTAAAACACAACTCACTCACTCGCGCACTTTGCATACTTTCTATTTCAACACAATCTATTTCATGAGAAAGCCCACACCTCAGGAATAGTATTGCACAACTGCAAGAAATGTTATAAGTTTACTTGCAGAACACTCAGTACAACATTTCGGCTCAAGAAAAAGCACATTTGGCATTTTGTGTTTGTTGATGAGTCCGAGTGCTTATATCACTCAAAATGTCGCTTTTAAATATAATAGTAAATATAGCCCAACTGGAGTCCAAGTAATTTCTAGTTGATGGTGAAAGATGGATTTTGCAGTAAAGTGCTGATTCGGAGATCATGCTCACGTTGCTGCAACGGACCTTGTCTTGTCAATTGGCAGTTGATACATTAGTATATTCTCCTTTGCGTTGGGGCGGTGGGGTAGCCTAATGGTTAAAGCGTTTGCTCGTCATGCCGAAGACCTGGTTCGATTCCCACATTGGTACAATGTGTGAAGACAATTTCTGGTGTCCCCGTCCTGATGTTGCTGGAATATTGCTAAAAGCGGCGTAAAACTAAACTCACCCACTCACTCACTTGCTTGACATCAAGATCATCGATAAACTCGTTTGTTATACGATGACATTAAGTCAGCGTGCCTGTTGTCCTACTTGGGCAAGCATGGGTTGCAGAAGACCAATTCAAACTGTTGACTCTCATTTACAAAACTATCCATCATCAAGCTCCCGGCTATCTCAACGATCTCATTGCTGTGTATGAACCTGCAAGAGATCTCAGATCTGCTCATCAACTACAGCTTAAATTGCTGCCATACCGTATGAAAACTTTTGGATCACGATCATTACAAATTGCTGCTGCACGCAAATGGAATTGTCTGCCATTAAACCTCATGACCGTCCCAACACTTGATGCATTTAAAGCAAAGCCTCAAGACTCATTTGTTGGAGAATTATACTTTTCATCATGATGTATATATGTTTGTGTTAGCGCTACGAGCATGCTTTGTTGCGTGGAGATTAGCGCTTTATAAGACTTCATGTGTTGTGTATTTGAATCTTATACACAAGGCCGTGGCCGAACAGAACACAAAATACCATGACTTCTACGTCGAACACAAAATACCATGTTTACTCAGGAAGTGGGGGTTACAAGCAGGGGTCCCCAAGGGACGGAACTCTAATCAGCTTGCCGCTACCGTCACATAAGGCTGCAGGAGTTGTCTCCCATACATGTATCTGCCACACAAGCCCATACACTACACCATTCCCCCCTAAGTTTTCACCGCTGGAAACTTTTTGGTTGCTCCTACAAAATTGCAAGAAAATTTAACACAACTGGAATATTGAAAACTGACTAGAAGCAAACTCTTCCATTTGAACAAATTAAAGTCTTTAGCAGTAAACTGAAATGTCCATATTCTTACTTTGAAAGGAAAATAGCCTAATTTGGGCGCTAATATTTACTGATAACACTGACAACACATTTACAGTCTTTTCACTTCTCACACTCATATCGAACTGGAGGACGTCGATCTCGGGTAGGGTAACGCCTCTCCTTTAGTTCTTCTGCATCCGACACCTGCTTCTGGTTGACTTCAATTTCCACTTTTGGTTCTGTCAACCCTTAGATCCCACAAGAACACATGGTTGCTGTGCCATCACTGTGCTTTCTGCTGATCCCAGAAACACTGACATCTCCGGGCTACCTTGTACTGACTGTCGTGAAACTTCCAGGCGTGGTCTCATCTGGTCAACATGTCTCTTCCACACCTGTTGTCCGGCGGAGACATGATAATTCCTATCACCCAGTCGTTCCAAAACTGTCCCCTGTACCCATCTTGAGCCTTGAACTCCAAAGTTCAAAACAAAGACAGCTTGTCCCACATTGAAGAATCTTGGCACTTCAGTTTCTGCATCATCATTTTTGATCATCAATCCTTCTCGTGTCGGTCTCAGCGCTGATAACCTAGTTAAGTAATGAGCGCCTCATGAGCAACTCAGCTGGGGTCTTCCCTGTTGCAGCATGGACAGTCGTTCTGTATGAGAATAAGTACCTCTGCAGTTTGTCATGAACATCACCTGTTTGGTTATTCATTTTCTTTAGTGCCATCTTGAAAGATTCCACAGCTCTCGGCTTGTCCATTAGTAGCTGGGTGGTTTGGCTGTCCTAGTGTGACGAATGTTGTTCCTCCTCAAGAATGTCTGGAATTCTTCAGAGGTAAACTGTGCCCCATTGTCGGATACAATGTGCTCTGGAAGACCAAATGTTGCGAAGATTTTTCTGAGATGCTTGATAGTGACTGTGGCTGTGGTTAACGATAATGGAATAACTTCCATCCATTTGGAATGTGCATCCACCACGACTAAGAAGGAGTGTCCTAAGAATGGTCCGGCAAAGTCGATATGAAGTCGTGACCATGGCGATGATGGCCACTTCCAACTTGTCGGCGGAGCTGCTGCAGGTTGATTTGCTATCTCCTGGCAATCAAGACATTGTCTCACCTTTTCCTCAATCTGACTGTCTAGTCCTGGCCACCACATGATTGATCTGGCCACCGACTTCATTCTGACCATTCCTGAATGTTCACCATGCAGCTCTTCCAACAGTGCCTCTCTGAAGTCACTTGGGATAACTACTCTTGTGCCCCATAAGACAACACCTTGCTCCACACTCAGTTCCAATTTTCTCTGGAAATATGGCTTCAAGTCTGTTTGATCTCCCCTCAATATACTGTGGCCATCCTTCCAGTGTGAGCAATCGAACTTGTCGTAACACTGGGTCTTTCCCAGTTCCCATAGCAACTTGCCTTGCAGTGATAGGCAATTCTTCGTCAAACCTATTGATCAGAAGGATCAACTCACTGTTGTGATCTCCACTGTCATCTTGCTCTGATACGAGGGGCAGTCGTGACAACCCATCAGCTGGAGCATTCTGTTTAGAGGTTCTGTATTCAATCTCGTAGTTGAATGAAGCAAGTATCAGTCCCCATCTTTTGATGCGCGATGCAGCCATCACTGGAGTTTCCTTTGAAGGCGAGAACAATCTCAGTAATGGACGATGATCTGTCACCAGCGTGAAATGACGTCCCTGAATTTAGACACTCCAAAGACAATGGCAAGTCCTTCTTTTTCCAACTGTGAGTAGTTTTGTTCTGTGCTGGTCAGTTTTAGAGAAGCGTATGCCACAGGTCTCTCTTCGAATTGATGCGGTGCTGCAGCACAGCTCCAACTCCGTATGGTGAAGCATCACAGGATAGTACCAAAGGTTTATCCAAACTGTAGTGCACCAGGAAGGTATCGTTGATTAAGAACTCTTTTGATTCCTGGAATGATTTTTGTTCCTTCTTTGACCAGTACCAGTCCTTGTCCTTCTTCAGAAGATCATACAGTGGTGCCACTGTACTTGCAAGGTTAGGCATGAACTTTGCATAGTGATTCAGCATTCCCAGATATGACCTAAGTTCAGACACATTCTTGGGTTCTGGTGCTTGTTGGATTGCCCTGACTTTTTCTTCGGTAGGATGTATTCCTTCCTTATCCACTTTGAAACCAAGGAACTCCACCTGTTTCAGGAAAAACTTGCACTTGACCTGTCTCAGTTTCAGTCCTGCTTTTTGTAGTACTCCTAGTACTGCCTTCAGGTTGGACATATGTTGTTGCTTGTTGTGGCCAGTGACACATATGTCATCCATGAACACGACCACTCCTTTCAGCCCTTTGAGAACCATCTCAATTGTCCGCTGGAAGAGTGCTGGTGCTGTGCTCACACCATATGGTAAACGTTTGAACTGATAAAGCCCTTTGGAAGTGTTGATAGTAGTCAGTCTTCTTGACTTCTCATCAAGTTCCAACTGCTGATAAGCATGTTTCAAGTCCAATTTGGTGAATTCCTCACCTCCATTCAAATTGGCTAACAGCTCTTCCACCTTGGGAATTGGGTAAGTCTCCACTTGTAGAAACCTGTTGAGAGTTGTTTTGTAGTCCCCACACAGCCGCACTTCTCCAGATGACTTCAGCATGGGAACAACTGGAGTGGCCCATTGTGAGTACTTCACTCTCTCAATAATATCTTCCTTTTCCATTCTATCAATTTCTTCCTCCACCTTTTCTTTCAGCGCAAGTGGTACTGTGCGAGCTTTGCAGAATACTGGATGGGAGTCTGTTCTGACATCTAATGTCACTGTGCATTCCTTGAGATGTCCTAGACCTTCGTCAAACACTTCCGGGAATTCTGTGAACAGTTGACCAATGCTGTCTTGGCCCATCCCCGAAGATTTGATGTTGTGTGTTGAGAGAACACTTTTCCAAGGTTCCATGTACTTCAACCAGTTTCTTCCTAACAACGATGAGCCATTCCCGTCCACCACCACTAGAGACAGTGTTCTGATCTCTGTCTCCGTGTCAACCTTCACACTTAGTTTTCCCAATACTGGAATGTTAGTTCCTAGATATGCTTCTAGTCTGCATGTGCTTTCAGTCAATGGCATGTTTGGAAATGTTGACTTGTAGACTTCCTTATTGACTAAGGTAACACCTGACCCTGAATCCACCTCAAACCTCATTGGCTTTTCATTTACCATCACAGTCTTCTTCCACTTTCCAGTACCTCCTTCCTGCAGTACAGAAGAAATCATGAACAGTTCCTCAAACACATCTTCATGTTCTGCTTCCACGTCTGGCTCCTCAACATCAATGTGATGAGTAGATTGCTTAGGATTACCCTTGGGCTGTTTCCTTTTTGTATCCTCTGTTTTAGCGCTCCGGCACGCACGGAAGATGTGTCCAACCTTTCTACAGTTATTACATTTGGCTGAAATGTAAGGACAATTTGGTGGCAGATGTTCTGTCGAGTTGCACCTTGTGCATGGTTTGTACTTGTCACCTTTAATTTTGTTTCTTGGTGGTCCAGTTCTCTGAGATGTTGACAACTTGTTGACTGAGGAGGTGCTGCCTTGAATCGCCTTGGCTTCCTTGTTGGCTGTTTCCATCGACAACGCTATTTGATAGGCTGCTTGGAATGTCATTGTAGCTTTCTCCTGTAACAACCGTCGTCTAATTGCTTCACTGTACACCCTGGCAACAAATCTGTCTCATAACCACATTGTCAAATGTCCATCATAATTGCAATCTTCTGCAATTCTGCGCAGGTTAGCCACAAACGTATTTATGCCTTCATCTGCTCTCTGAACTGTCCTATTAAATGTACAGCGAGCTGTAATAACGTTAGGAGGGGGGGGGGTGAAGATGTTGTGAAAGTTTGTCTATTACATCCTTAGATGTTTGATCACTTACTTTCGCTGGTGAAAATAAGTCACGTGCCAATTTGTATAGTTCGTCTCCCATGGACGAAATAAATATGTGAATAATTCTTTGGTCATCCACTATATTATTGGCCGTCATGCTCGATTGGAAACGTTCAGCATACGTTGGAAAATCTTCCTTCTTACCTGAAAATTTGGGAACAGGCACACAAAAAGTGTTGACTGGTGCTGTTTCTTCATTCTCCATGACGAATATAAACGCACAGCCTGATAAATTATCCTTATCGTAATAAGAATAAAAAAGTCCAAATCAGGAACACGTGGTTTCACTGTTTGAATGTCACACTGGCCTATTTCCACGCTGCTTTGATCCGTAGATCGTTAAAAACGTTTAAAGAACTCGTAGTTCAACTTGCCGTAGCTTGTTAGCGGGATCCCATCCTCGTCGCCAATTATTCTGTTGTGTATTTGAATCTTATACACAAGGCCGTGGCCGAACAGAACACAAAATACCATGACTTCTACGTCGAGCGTTTACTCAGGAAGTCGGGGTTACAAGCAGGGGTCCCCAAGGGACGGAACTCTAATCAGCTTGCCGCTACCGTCACATAAGGCTGCAGGAGTTGTCTCCCATACATGTATCTGCCACACAAGCCCATACACTACAACGCGGTCGGGGATCGAACCCGCGACCTTCATCTCTCCGGGCGGCAGCTCTAACCACTACACCATGGAGGCGGTTCTCAGTCATTGTAAACTCAGGTCATTAGGAATGAATTCGCTGTGGATAACGACATTGTGTTTTCGTGAGGTTTCGTTCATGATGGACAAACTACTCCAATGCAAAGATCCACATTGTAACTAGATACGTTTTGGTTGTATCACAAATTACAAGAAATGTCGAAATAACACCCTGAAGTGGCATTCAGAAGCTGGTATGAAGAGCAACAAATTCTACGGAATGACAACTTCTTTAATGGCGTCCTGGGGGCATGGTGGGCGAGCTGGCTAAGGCGCGCCAGGCTATTGAATCAGCGAGCATAAGGTGCTGGGATAGAGCCCACCTGGGTGTAAACACCTTGGAGTCAACTTTATGTGCAGACTCTTTCAGTGTTGTCACAACCCCTAGTGTACAGTACACAACCCTGTGCACTTAAAGAACCCACAAATCCGTTTGGTATATGACCAGATGGTGGCCACATGAATATGTGCAAACACCTGGTTGCGGGTACAGCAACGTGAGTAAACTTGGACAAAGTACTGTGACTATGTGTCCCAGTTTACCCAGCTGTGAATGGGTACCTCGTAGGGATGGGAAAGCCGCAATAACTTGGTGTGCCTTGTGTAGATTGATATTCAGTTTAATATCTGGTCATCACAATGATGACAATATTATATATTTATCAAACCAAAAATTGACCATATTATCGAAAACAATGTTAGTGAATGGTATAATGTTTGTGACAAACGTGCACCTGGCCAAGCATGATACATCATTGTTCTGTCCATACAATGACAAATTCCATGACCAAGACAACAAATAACACCATGGGTCGTGATTTTGTAAATTCTGCCAAAAAAGGGCTACATTTACCATGTACTTAATTTTTAGTGGTCATTCTCAGTCATTTGCCTTACCTAACATGATGGTGGATGATGACATTAAGGAACAGGAATTTCAGAACAGAATTCATAATTGTGAAGTGTATTTTTGTGCAGGATATATTTTGAATTTTATCGAAGGTTGAGTAAGACGGACTTGTATGCTCCAGGGGGGGGTTAAAGGGAAATAGAAAATAGATTAAATTCACAAGAGGTTTATCCAGCCATGGATTAAAAAACAAGAACTTGGATGAAAATACTGTGCAACTACACAATGTTAATTTTCTCAGACAATAACTACTGGTAATCAGGGAAAGAAAACAGGCAAATGAAAAGTAAAATTCATCTTGATTCAACTTTAAATAAGACTATACATGTGGCCACACACACACACACACAGAGAGACAGAGAGAGAGAGGGAGGAGAGAGAGAAGAGAGATGTCCTCTTGTTCTGACATCGACTTAAACAGAGAATTAAGCCTGGGACAGGCAACACTAAAACTTGCGTCTAGTGGTTCCACAGTACGACCCAGACTACACTGAGCTTCCACACTTCATCACAAGATCTGACCAACTCCTAGGATACACTAGTTACTTTCATTCAGCTAATGTTAACATTCTTTCTTATTATTATCCATATGGTGAAACATAACCAGTGTCACATACATCATATGTGCACATATAACTTTTGCCTAGCAACCATTGTTTCTGTATTTCGTCGTCTGTGACGTGAGAGCTCTTGCTTGGGCAATACAAAATTTCACACTCATTTCGCGTAAGTCATATGACACACTTGCTTGTGTAATAATCTCTATTTATGCAAGTATTCATTCCACCCAAATGTTTTGAATACAAATACTTAAGAGCATGCTTGATTAGATTGTCTTCTTCATGTATTACAAATTTTTGAAAGGGCTCCTGCTAAAAACCCTTCTTAATTTATTTTAAAACTCTCGGGACTTACAGAGGGCACCTAGGTAGGGTTGGGTTACAGAGGATCACGAAACCGGTCAGTAGATTTGGACTTGTCCCTATTGTGAATACTTTTTGGCACGACATCGCCAAAGTGATCGTAATATCAGTCCCTGTTAGGCAAGAACTAGTCTGTCATAAAGAACCTGAAGCAAATATATCCAACAGGGCTCAAGATAAAGGCTGTATCGGCGTATGTACGGATAATGATTAAGCACGATACGACAGGAAATAATTTAGGAAACGTAGCAGATACGCACCATAGCAATGCAGTATGGTCTTAGAATCATTTACAGACGTATTTATCTGAAAAATTATTGTTTTATTGTATATTGACCTCTTTACACAATGTTGTAGCAATGTTGTGGTGCATATATGAAACGAAACACAAGATTACTGATACACCATTAAATTCCATTCAGTACTCTAAATGTACTCTTAAGTTTTTCCCAGGACTCCTATATTGAAAAAATAAGGAGTACATACTCCTGATGTTGAAAAATTATCTGGAGCCAAGATCCAAGATGGCCCACACAAGTATATTTTATTTTTTTCTGTAAAATATGTTCATTTCCGAGACTAGTTGTTAGTCTAGGCAAGAACAGAAATATGTCCTAATTGAATATCTTCTAATAATTGATAGAAATGCAGATCAAATCACCAACAGACCTACCTCATTGTTCAGAAGTGCAGCCTTCTCAGCGACCATGCAGGCCTTAGCCTTCTCGTAGGGCATCGATTCCACAGTGCAACCGTTTCCAATGTAATGCTTCATTTTCTAGCTCAAAAGTCCGCAAAGATAGTCTGAGTTCAAGGGTATACAAACAATCTAAAACAGAAGTGTGAAAAAGTAATTTTACTTTAGTAATATGTGACCTTGTCATGTGAACTGATGCAGGAGGATTTGCTAAAAATCTTTCTTAGCATCATGGCTCAAGAAAAGTTCATATGTTACTGATGATGTATTTCTAGCATAAATGTTCTTTGCTGAACTCTTCCACATAAATAAGAGAAGTGGCAAGGAGCACATTTTTTATGCAGGGAGACAAACTTAAAGCTGCTGTGAGCTATACCACTTCATGATAGGGTCACAAGAAATGGGGACATTTTACCCATGCTGTGACATGAACAACTGAACATTTCCCTAATTTGATCAACTTTAGAAAGAACACTGATCTAAAAATTTCTTGCACAAGTCTGCATGTAATTCATTGTATTACACCCTGTACCAACAATGTGTTTTTTACACTAATGGGCTTGCTGGTATTCATCCTGACTGATCACTGTAATACAAGGCTCTGGAATCTCACCTGGCCAGAGGGAACACCTGCTTTTAGCAAATACTAGCTGGGATCCCACGGTGGCTCTGCGTTGAAGTTAAATTTTTTCTTTGAACGGCAGAAGCCCTCTGGGCTTTCTGTGTAGAAGACAGCCAAGCCTCCCTGCAAAGTGCAAAATAACAGTTGACAACAGTGCAAGTGAACGTGTTCAGTTGGGTTTAATTTAATGCTGCTTCTAACAGTATTAAGATACATGGCATGGCAACATTGTGTGAGGAAAGACTGAAGTGAAGCCAGTCTCAGTAAGTGAGTGTGGTTTAATGCTGCGTTTAGCAATATTCCAGCAATATCATGACAGGGCCTTAGGGGACACCAGAAATGGGCTCCACACATTGTACCAATGTACCAATCAAATCTGGGTCGTCGGCATGACAAGCAACACTTAAAAGAACAAATAAATGTTTTTGTGTACTCTTTTAACCATTACATATGAAAGATTTGTGGTTAGTCTTATGCGGAACACCAAATTCATTCTTAAAAAACTTGTTAATTAATACCGAGCGATTAAAAGTTGCTTCACTCTCGCCCACCAACTTAACAACAGACAGGTTATGTAACTCTGTCGCCAGAGCACTGCAGTGAAGTCATATGAGGAAGGATTTTCAGTTAGTTGTATAGAAAGTGTGTGGCAAGCTCGTCATTTTGATGATTTCTCGACATCAACGAAGACATGACGAATTGTTGCGTTGTCGTCAATTGCTCCTAGGGGTTGGGCGATGGTGTCACCATGCACAGATTTCTATAGGACACCGCAGTTCGTGCTAAATGGGTTTTGTTTATGAGTGCAAAGCGAGCGTTCTGGAAGCCTGAAACGATATCCTACTTGTGTTCAGATCGCTTCATGGGAGTTAAAGAATCAAAACTATACTAGGCACATAAGAAACTGTGCATACAAAAATTTAAAATCTAAATTTATCAAACGTGTAGACACTTCGCCGTATCCACCCCAACAGTTTTACAACGTTTCCATCATTCCCTTGTTTTGGTGGAGAAATGTTTTTACAGACGAGTCCAGGTTTAACATTTCCCATAGTGATGGACTTCAACGTGCCTATAGACGCATGGGAGAACGTTATGCACAGGCCTGTGTCCTGGAGAGGAATCGCTTTTGTGGTGGTTCCGTGATGATTTGGGGTGGAATAACAGCACGCCAAAGAACGCCTTTGGTGATTGTTCAGGGCAACTTAACTGGTGTGGGCTACAGGGATCAGATTCTTCGACCTGTAGCAATTTCTTTTCTGCAAAGTCATGGCCCTGGGTTAACATTCCAACAGGACAATGCCCGCCCTCATACAGCAAGGGTTGCTATGGATTTCTTGCAACACCACAACGTTGACTTACTGCCTTGGCCTACATGTTTGGGACGAGATGGATCGATGTCTACGCCGTCTTCCTCATCCGCCATATAACGTCCTTGACCTTGCACCAGAACTTGAGAGAATCTGGCGTGACATCCCACAAGCCTTCCTTGCACGTTTGATAGGCTCTATGCATCGTCGATGCACTGCTGTTCTCAATGCCGATGGTGGACATAGCCGTTACTGAGCTTGTGACATGGTCGTTTGACCCTTGTCCCGCTTGTGGACTCGTGACGTCATTGTGATTGAGTTTTCAATTGAAATTCTCCCGACTTGTTATGGTCTCCTGATCCCTCCATTAAAGTTTATATGTACCTTTGACATTGTTATCGTACTTATCAACTGGGATAATATTTTGACAATGCACAGTTTCTGTATGTGGCTAGTATACTTACTAGTTGTAGTAAAATATGTATGTGATTGATGACCATAAAGATTTTCCATGACACAACTTGTAACATAACAATTTCTTCCTCGGAAGCGAGGTTGTGGAATCATGGTGTTTGCCGTGAAGTGTAATGAGACAGACAACATACAAGCGATTTTGACAGAATCGTCGATGAAAACAAGTTGTAACTCAGAAACTAGGCAAAACAGGAGACAAAATTAAATGACAGTAGATTGTGAGAACATATAGCTTTCATTTTTCACAACAGTTGTCACGAGTTCAGGTTTATACAAACCTGTAAACAAGATAATTTACCCCCTGAAATGTACATGAATTCTGCATCGGCCCTCATAGGACGTCACAGAGGCTGCTCTGATTGTTTGAAATTTACGTTCGAGGGTGAGAATTGTGCACTGTTGTCAAAAGGTCAATTTAATTAAAGATCGAAATGAGTAGTTTTAATGGCGGGGTTTCATTTATAACGATGCCAATTAGTGATTTATGTATTTGTACCCCGGCTAGAGTATATGTGATCTTTAACCACTAGGCTACCCCACCGCATCGCCAGTCTCAGGAGCTTACCCACTTTGACAAAACCCATGAGCATGGGTATGGCCTTGACAAAACTAGAGACAAACAGGGTGAACCAAGACTCAACCCCACAGTTGTAGGTTCCTGGTGTGTCCAACTCTCAGCAGTGAATGTCGTGCTTTGGATTATAAGCCACCTGTGCCCTAAACTATTAGTGAGAGAGACCAGCAGTACCTCCTGAAGAAATTAATAGGCCAATAAGGAAAAAACACACATTCATTTGTGAAATTACAATCAATGAACCAGCTACTTGCGCTATATTATCATTAACAAACTTCACATAGCTAGATAACATATTCTAATCTAAATCTTACATTCAAAACAACGTTACAGGACCTGAGCGTTGAGATTGAGTGAGCGAGAGAGTTTAGTTTATCGCCGCTTTTAGCAATATTCCAGCATTATCACGACGGAGACACCAGAAATGGGCTTCACACTCCAGACGAAAGAACAGTGCTATACCCATTCCTCACTGATTGAAAACAATCATACTAAACTTGTCTGCCAGCAAACTCACTGAATTCATACACTAGCCAACGTACGAGATATATTTCTCACCTCCTACACTATTTATGAAAGCTCATTTTGTGCTCAATTCACAAGCAATTAAACTTGAGAAATGATAACTGATGAACAGGTATAATGTAACTAAATGAAGGAATTGGGATGCTTTCACCAGATTGGTGGCTTTGATTATTTTGTCATCTCTTGCCATGTCAAGCAGTCTGGGAATACAGCTACAAGTTTGAGGACCAAGCCAAATTTGGTCAGCGCGAGTGAGCTCATCTTTGTACTAGTCCAAATAAAAACACTGAAGTCTACCGATATTGATGTTCAGAGCCATGTTTGTCAGAAATGTTTTTGGAAAACCGTCTGTCCAGTGAATATCTAAACATGTTTTAGGTTTTAACTTTTATGTGAACCTACCCAACATTCACCCCTCTGCAAAATAACGTAAAATAACTCCCTTGTACTCTACAAGAAGCACTTCCAAAAAGAGGGGCTTCATCGCGGGGCATGACCTACAGTATCTTACTCGTGGAAGGAAACCAGATAGCACCGCATGAAGATTTGGCAAAAAAGTGACGTCACGATATGTAGGTTGTGTAAATGTCACTGAATGATGAAGCAGAAACTATCATTGCCATAACATCCCCTCCATGTCACTTATATATGTGAATAATTCGGAAGGGATAGGGTGGAATTCTTTCCTCAGTCAGTTCCACCAGGATAGTTAATTGCGTTGAATTACACTCCATATCGTTAATCATTCATATTGATATAGGTTCTAAAAGCTGACAATGTTTAATATCTATGCTAATTCTATTTTCGGCCCATCAGTAATCAGTTAGTTACGTTGGATAACATAGTTACGCTTTGTCGGCTGTTATGGATGTAACCACGAACACGCATGGTTGTCACATGTCACAAACGGGATGGCTATGAATGAAATAAATGTCCCTGTTGTAGAAATAATTCGGAAATACTTCTCACCTGCACAGAAGCTTCAAGACCGTTTGCTTCTTCTTTTACGGCCGTAATCTTGACGGCTTTACGGGATCAATGAGAAAAATATTAATGCATTAATGATGTAAAAAGAAGACGGGATCTGTACAGCTAAACAATGCTATCCCGTCGCCATGCGTCAGAGACTGTTGCAAATGGCGGACGTGTTATTTATATACCCTGCGAAGCGTATGAATACACTAAGGATGGAAATCACCCAATTACGTGTACAGTTAGCGTTAATGAGAATGGCAACATATCACACAAACAGTGGTATTTCTATAATTAGTAGTAAACGGGATAGGAAGGACCTGGACACTGTTATACCAATGACAGATATAGGAACTATTTTGCTTACATATCTGTGAGGATGTTACTCAATTTGAGTAAATATGGCGATAACGCGACAATGCGTAATGCAATGTTTCATGGGCTGAGGAAATTACATGTCTAAAAATACAGCGTGACGAAATACATGGAGTGCTCTTTCCTTTCTTGCTTATAACAAGCCTGTCTTTACAGATCTTACCGTATATCATTAATGATGAAATTATTTGCTCCTATGTTTCCACCGGTTCAACTATATCATCAGCTGATTAAACTGCTCTCCATTGTGTCCCAGAATACTGTACAGTTAATGCAGGAATAGATTATACGCATGGTTGACCTGTTAACTCCTCATTATATACGTATATAGCCTTGAGTGAAGTAAAGTTCGGTACAGGTGTTTCAACGAGTTATTATTTTTTAACTTTGACAATACAACGTCAGTGTTTTAATTGTAGTTTTGAATTTGAAAGAGATGCTCAATATTTAAAACCAGGGCTACAATGTGACGATAGAGATGTAACTTATCTTGGGTCACCGCGTTCAATGTTTTATGTTGCACATATGTATCAAGGAATGGAGTTTTCTCAGAAAGCTGGAGAGAAGGATAGCGGTTTACAAAACTGAACAAGCACGTACTTCGTCAGAACTGAATTTGGTTCTTTTCTGAGACTCCGAAGAAGCAAGTCAAATTTAACAAACCCTTAAAAGTTTTTGAGAATCATCATGCAATTAATTCCATGTGTGTAAAATACCTTTGCTAATAAAGAAAACCATTTCTTGATCGTATTAAAAGGTATATAATAGGTTTGTTTCTATGAGAGGGATTTGCTGGTATTTATTTCTGGACCTAACAAAAGATCTGTCTGTACGGATTTGTTTTAGCTGAGAGTACAAAAGGGGAATTGATATATATCTTCAGATTTTAAAGTCACGCCAAAGTTTATCGACTGAAGCATGGATCGGGCAGATTTCTTCATCAGTTAGAATCCTGACCTTATAACCCGAGAAGCAAACGAAAACGTATAGCTCTCGGGTGATTTTGTCATATGTTTGATTTTCAATTGAAAATATCCAAAAGCCAAGAAATGAATTGCACTGCTGCTTTTTCAGCACTCAACGAATGCTTTTAAAAGGTTGTATCTTTTAGAGTATAGATTTATATTTGATTTAAACTGCTTTGATCTGCTTTTTTGATCTGATCTGCTTTTTCGGCTAAAATTATACATTCCAAACATGGCGGTAGGGGTCATGTGGCTGCAAATTCATTTCGTATCCCTCTTTTATTGAGACAACTTATTATGCACCAAATGTCTCAGGCAGAGATGACTCTTAACAAACTTCCAGGAATGAGTGATCGTCAAATGAACAAGCATACATGTACATCGACTTAACAACATTCTTTCAGTTACATAAGCGAAACCTTCTGCAGCAGTTGATACACAAATTAAGGTCCTTGATGAAAACACTAACCATAGGCTTACTTAATACTTACACAGAGAGGTTATGTTAACTCAGGCTGTCTCTGGAGGAACACGAACACAACCTTCACGTCTAATGCAGCCACACTTTCAACGAGAGCTAGAACTGGGTCTGTTTCCGCTATCTCAGTTTGTACACTTTACCAATGACAACATCATGAACTCATTGACTAAGCCACTCTAACAGACTTGCAACAGGCCCTTCTTCTCCATTTGCAACATCCATCACTATTTAATGTTTCTGTTTTGAGAAATTGTAACCTTGATTCGACCTGCACTCATTAATTCATATCGTACCAGACGGTGTAAAATGTTAACAAGGCCGACAAGTAAAATATAAATAAAATTTGGTGCACAACTGGATACATCTATCTTCCGGGCGTCAGTATTGTACAGGTTATACCCTATTGAACCTTGTTATTTTTCTTTTCCTCTGTTGCATAATTTGTTTTAAACTCACCATTGCTGATTGACTCAAACAGAAGCTCGTGTCACCAGTATTCCCACTTGTTCAGATGAACTGTGCGGTCTCATTGATAAATCTGTTTGTGTATAGGTGAGGTGAAATTGGGTTTAACGTCGTGCTTGAGAATATTTCGCTCATATGACGACGTGCATGTGTGTGTATGTGTATGTGCGGCTGCTTGTACTAGCCCAGACTTAAGCTGGTTTGATAGTGCTAGCCCACTGAGATTCCATGCCGCAGTGAAGCATGAATACCCCACTCAGACACATTATACTGACTCCGAGCCGACCAGTCCTACCCATTAATGCCGAGCGCCAGGCAGGGACCAACAAGTACCATATTTTAACGTCTTTTGGTATGACGCGATCGGGGATCGAACGCGCGACCTTCCGCTCTCCGGGCGGACGCTCTAACCATTACACCACGGAGACGTTTTTTTATATATGTTGAGTTATACACATGAAAAAAGTATCGCATCACCCCATATTTTCATAGTATCAATATGTTACCAATAGCAATCAACACATCCAAACTCAATTTACCTTACTATGCCATTACATTACAAACTCTTCATGTACTAGAGCAAGCCATCCATCATGAATGGAACACCATACCTCCACGTCAAACGTCTCATATACAGTCAAAGAGGGTGATCGGGCATGTTATTGCAAATGGCGGAGGTTACACCAAATATTGACACTGTAATCGGTTATTGATGTACCCTGTATGTTTCCAAACATTAAATCACTAAAACAGAGCAATGTATCCCTCATCTTAGACAAAGAAACTTGACATGCTGTTTTGAAGTGTACTTACTGAATACATATAACTGATTCAAACATGACATCATTTAGGAGATAAACATCATGTGTTGGCCAATTGCCGGGTGTTATTGAGTATTTGAAGCACGGGAATTCATTTGGAACCGACGGCGTCAGCCGGAGGTTTCAAATGGAATATTCCCGTGCTTCAAATACTCAATAACACCCGGCAATTGGCCAACACATGATGTTTATCGACATTGAAAACACAAAAGTAAACCAAAAGGTCCACACACGTTTTTGTGTCTGCACTCATTGACATCGAGTACGGGTACAGCAGTGCAATGTCATCAGCCGGCCGTTTCGGCTGTCTCCCATGGTAGCATCTGGAACTGCTCATTTGTGACGTCATTCGGACTTTACGTCACAATATGATTTGAATGACGTCATCTCAGCTGACGACGTAACAATACAATCGTGTGAGCGATGTTTGCATGTATTAATACGCAGCGAATTTCCGGGAATCAAATACCATTTGATCACGTTTTTCAACCAATCAGATTAAAGAACACAGTGACTTTTGGTTTACAATAAGGCATTGTGTCGCAACATTTTAAAAATGTTATCGAAACGTGTAGGTGTGATATCATTTTAAAAACCTTTTAAGAACCAGTCATAATAAAAAACACATTTTAAATGTGATGACAGATCCGGCTAAAAGTAAAACATTTCAGGAACGTTTTATGGCACTTTAATGACAAGTCATATTAGAACGTGGCTGAGTGAGATATTGTTTGTGATTGCAGTGTATGTACTGTTTATGTCACACCAACGTTACAACATAAACAGTGTTTTAAAACGAGATGACAATATTTCATTAAACATGTTCTTGCACAACATTTCTGCAATGTTTTAAAAACATTTCAATCATATGTTATGAAATAGTTTCACCCATGTTACAACATGACGTTTCTGAACAACATTTTGAAAACATTTCAATAACATTTTCAGTATTCTTGAGAGATTTACAAATTATTTGTATGATATGGCACGGCTTTCATCATTAAGCTGATAATATGATGAACATTTTCATCAGGCCATAATCTTGCATGATTTAAAAGTGTATTATAAATTAACAAGTCGGAGAGTGATATATTTACAAAATGATCCCATGAAAAATTCACTTGCCAGTCGGGCCAGTGACTGTGGAAATTTACTGGCCCGACTGGATTTTAACTAGCCATGGGCTCCCGGGCCAGTGGCTATTTCGCACACTATTTCGTTTGTATGATATGGCATAAATGTGTGCACAATGTTTTTAAAACATGATGACAATATTTCATTAAACATGTTCTTGCATAACATTCCTGCAGCGTTTTAAAAACATCTCACTTATATGTTGTGAAATAGTTTCAAACACGTTATAGCATGACGTTTTTGAACAACATTTTGAAAACATTTCAAAAACATTTTCAGTATTTTTTGAGAGATTTAGACATTATTTGTATGATATGGCATAAATGTGTGCACAATGTTTTAAAACGTGATGACAATATTTCATTAAACATGTTCTTGCATAACATTCCTGCAGCGTTTAAAACATCTCACTTATATGTTGTGAAATAGTTTCAAACACGTTATAGCATGACGTTTTTGAACAACATTTTGAAAACATTTCAAAACATTTTCAGTATTTTGAGAGATTTAGACATTATTTGTATGATATGGCATAAATGTGTGCACAATGTTTTTAAAACGTGATGACAATCAAAACATGTTCGTGCACAACATTTCTGCAACGTTTTAAAATATTTCAATGGCATGTTATGAAATATACTGAGTCAAAAAAGAAACTTCACATTCTTTCTTCAGGGCACTATAAAAGAACAAAGAGATGGTAAAGATGGTTAAATTGTTATTATTTCATTGCTGAGATCTGTGTGATGTACTCGATACACTGACAATGCCATAATCAGTTCCATTAGGCTACACCGCCGTTCCAAAACATGGGTATACAGAATGTCAAGTCACAAGAATAAAAATGCGAAATTTCTCAGTTCAGTATCGTTGTATGGCCGCCCCGCTCCATTCACCACTGCCAAACACCGTCTCCTCATCGACTGCCTG